TGCCTTATGGTTCCATGATTTTTTCTAATCTCATCTATTTGCTTATTGAATTAAAGGCTCAATATAAGATCCCCCCGTATACAACCCTTACAAATACTTTCGAAGGAAATAACAATAATTTTTTCAAGAATTTAGGAATATTATCAGAAACACTTATTTATTTATAGTCTCGAAAAATTATCACTGAATTTAAAAAAATCATTTAATTTAAACAATTATTATTTTTAACACCGGATAGAGGCTACCACATATTTTTCACTTTATTAGCATTTTATTTTATTTATTGAAGTGATTTGTTATTTTACATTTGTTTTTTTTTGCTTTAAATTTTTGACTTATAAAAAGAAATTTAATTTACATTTCATTTTTATTTTAGACAGGAAAGAGGAATTTTTTTTTCTCAAATATTTAGTTTAAAAAAGTATGTACATACATTCCCATACATATTTATTATATTTCCACATGTACATATGTACATGTATTTATACATGTAGACAAATAAAAAGACAGAAAAAGTAAATCGCATTGCTTGATTACATGAGAAAAGCTGAATTTGTTGTTGTTATTGTTTTTTTTGTTGATTTAAGTTTTCAAGAATATACAAAATAATATTTTTTTTTTGTTTTGTAACTTTGTTGTCTCTTATGTTCTCTTATGTTTTTTCTTCTTTCTTTCGAACTATTTATCATCTGAAGAGGCCAATGTCCGCTCCTTATAATTTTTTTCTCTTCATTTTTCATAAAATATTTAAAAAATAAAAACAACTAAAATTTAAGAGTATAACAAGGAAAAATCAAAACAAAATCAAAACAATAATTTCAATTTTGTTTTTTAATTTTAATTTTAAAAAACATGACAATTTTCACAATTAATTTAAATAGGTGCCTAATTAATTTTTTGTTTTTTTTTGCTTTGTGTCTTCTTAAATTTTAAAACTTTTCCAAAATATTATTTTTTAAAAATTATTTATTTAATTTTTATTAAAAGAATTAAAAAAAATTTGAATATTCTGAACAAGTTATTGCGGGTTTAAGGTATGTAATTATTGTTTGTTATTTTTTGCAAATTTTATAATGAGCATCAAACAAAATCACGCTATTGCTTAAAAGTTATGAAGGATGCAACTTAATGGAATAATGTCGAAATTTAAATGTGTTTCTGGGCTAAGTACAAAATATGTGTTATAAGTACAACATGATTTTTTTAAACTAAAATTTGGCATATTTCGGCCAAATAACACAAATATCACATTAAATGTATCTCCAAATCAAAAACTATTTGTGAATACTTGATTAAACCGGAAATCGATATAAACATTTTACGTCTCGCCATACAAGAAACGAGAAAATTATCTTAAAGTGTCAAATTACATGATCTTGGCAGATAATTGACAGCTCCAAAATCTGAAATTAATTGATTTTTGAATATTCAGTAACTTAATGAGTCAATAAAATATTTCTAACTGAATAGTCTGATAGTCGTACTTCGGTCATCTGCATGCCTTACCACGGTGAAATTCAATTGGCCGAGAATTTAGTCGACTTTACCGCAAGTTCCAAACATCGAGACAATGGCGCATAATGATTTAAATTTTTTCTTTGCAATAAAATTCAATTAAAATTTTAAAAAATATATACAAAAACCAAAGATGGGGACGTAAAATGATCAAATGTCTATAATTACCGTAAATTAGTGCTCCAAAACTTTTATTTACTCTAAAAATTTATCATTGCCCTTAAATTTTAACGAAAATATTTTTTAAATAAATAATTTTTGATTTTTTTTGTTGTATTTTTTTTAGTTGCTTACAACACGATATCTTTTATTTTCTCTGGGAAACTCTTTTTAACTGTTATGTGAGTATGCGAGTAAAAATATAATGTGTAATTTTTATTGAATGAAAGGAAAAAATTATTTTATTTGCAACAATTTTAAATTACATTAAAATTTTCTTTACTTTCTAGATCTAAGATATTGAAAAAAAAGCAAAAAAAAAAGATGTCTTAACGATGTTTTCTGTGAAAAAGAAAAAAATGTCTAGACGAAAAAAAAAAAAAAACAAATTAAAAGCACAAAAAATGTTTTTAAATTGATTTTTTTTTCAACAAAAATTTACTAATTTCATAAATGTTTGGAAAAACTTTTTTTTCTTATTAGAAAACATCAATGAAAATTTTTACACAATATTACATTAAACTTTATCATTTTTTGTAAGGAAGTGAGATGACCGCGAATCCGGTATGGGAACTACAAATCATACGAAATTTATATATAAGAATCGTATATATTTTGATTTTTTATAAAGTTCGGCATGACGAAACGCTTCTTTGGATCTTTATTTTTAGAGTGGAATATTCGAATTCTTTAGAAAAATCCGAAAATACTAATTTTGGGTCATTTTGGTCAGACTTCTATTTTAATACCCTAATATGTATTTAAAACCACGGAAATATTTAAAAAAAAATTAAAGAAAATACCTTGCTAATTATATGATTGTTTTCATGCAAGTAAATATTTTCAACATGCTTTAGCCATTTTAGGCAAAATCAGGTTGTCATATATCAATATATTGAAATAAGTTCATATTGCACGTAACCACAGAATTAAAATTACTAAGAATAAATGTACATATTACTTGTGCATATAAATTGTAGATATACATATCTATAAGTGTTTCTCTAGGCTAGAATTTTTGTTGATAGTTGATTTTTTTTCTCATTTTATAAATGTATATATGTACATACTTTATCCTTTTCTTTTATAAATAATCCTGCAGATGCATAATAATAATAAATTAATCTCTGCATGTGTATACGTGCATTCACTTGTCTTATGTAATAGCTCTCTTCAGTTGCAACACAATGTATACATATATGTTCACATTGGATTGCACGTTTATCTTTTTGTTTACTAATGCCTAAATAGAAAAAATTATTGAAAACCTAAAAAAAAAATTTTTTTTACTTGGTTTTTATTTTTCTCAAATTTTTGGGTTCAAATTTTTCTCTGTTCCTTTTTTCAGTTTTTGTAATTCTTCTTTGTTTTTCATTTTTTTTTTTTTTTTGGGAAAATAAGGCGACTTCGTTTAGGATCAAAACTGAATTAACTGTACCAAAAAAAAAATATGAAAGAAGTGTAAGAGTCATCATTCTTTTAAATGAGTTTTTTGACCTTTAAAATAGAATTGTATCTTTTTTTTCAACTTATGGGAATTTTTTATTTTTCCCGTATATGCAACATACATACAACAAATATATTCGGATTTTGGCCATTATAATATCGTAGTTCTTTTATCAACTCATTAAAAAACTCCTTTTTGAATAATGATATTTTAAAAATCGGTTTTCAATAGGTACAATACGGTTCTTTTAGAACGATAAGTTAAAAGTCTAAATGTTTACATTGGGTCTCCAATAGGGCAATGATAACTTTAATCATACAACTTATTAATCTCGTATCATGAATTCGCCGAATAACCAACCTCATAGTTATATTCGCCGAATAACCGAACCTACAAATCATAAATTTCATAATACTCAAAATATTCAAAATCAATTCATAACTTCTTGTATTTCAAAAATATTTCGTCTTTATTGAAAACTCTTTACATTTTTACAATTTATCCTATTTAGATGTACCTTGGATTTCTATAGCAGCGTATGTTATGTGCTCCTGATGAAAATCACGTACACATTAATATGTCTGACTTCTTCTCTACCTTTTTTTTGTGTAAATATAGAATGTTGTATTTTAAAAGACAGGAAGACATTATTATTGTCTTAAAAATTATCTCTAGGTTCAAATATTTATTAATGAGATAAAAAAAAAACTAAGAATTTTTGTTTAATGAAAAATTCAATTCATTCTTGTGTTAATTTCGAAAAGGGTTCCTTACTAAATCTCTTGATTTAAAATTGATAATTTCATAAAATTTAAAAAAATTATTAAATATTTTGACGAAATTCTTATACCCAGTGGAATTTACAGGTAGGAACAATCTAATTGGCAAACTAACAATTTGGTTATACGTATTTGGAGGAAATTAAGCAGTCTGTGATAACAGTTTTTTATAAATTTTTTATATACTAAAACAAATGATTTAGATGCCCGAAGAAACATAAGATATAAGTTATCCTAAGAGGTTGGGAGGTTTATAATGAGATGGATGAGACCTTATTTTTCTCGCTATAAAAGTTTGTTCAATTATTGTATTCAACCTAATTTCGTACAAATCGAGTTGGCACTCGTATAACTACCTTTTCATTCTTATAGGAAAGAATAATGATGTTGGATGCATCAATATAAGCTGTTTGGTAAATGAATTAAATTTCTAACAATACGACAATAGTTTTCTTATATTGTGTTGTCCCACCATTGCTGCAAAGTTACCTTTTTTGTACTACTACACCATTAAAATATTTAAAAAATTTTAAATATTGAATTTTAAATATTTTATTCGATTATTTATGTTTGTGTTTGCCTATAAAATTTTATTTTATTGCATTCAAAATTAATATGAAATAAAAAAAAAACTTCATTTTAGTATTTTTATTTTTTAATGCATTTACAGTTTTAGTCAAAACCCTTGTATAAAATTTATTAAACTTTCTACTAAAAATTGACTTTCGAAATAAAAACGAAAATGAAAAGAAACTTTTTTAATATTTTTTTGTTGCGTAATAGCGTGTCAATTGTTTATTTTATTGTTAATGCGCGTCAGTGGTTTTTAAACATACCAAATTATTCATGATTTCATACAAGATGACCGAATTTCCAAATTTATTCATTTAAATTTAGTACTTATATTTTATGTTAAAAAGAAAACAAATATGTGCATATTGAAATTTTTTAAATAAATGGAAAAAAATTTTTGATAATAAATTTTGTCAATTTAAAATTATAAAATTTATTTAAATAAAATAAGTGATTTAATAAAATTGGTATTGTAAGTAAATTTTTATGTATGTACATATATTTGTTGTGTAACAGTTATTGTTTACCTTTTTGCAGGTTGAAATGAAGGCAGGTCGATAAAATGCAAAAATTTAAAGTTGTTTTATTAATTTTTCCAAATCTGAAATTAAAAAAATAAAAAAATTTAATATTAACCAAAAAAATAAATAAAATTATTTTATTTTAAATATGTTTAAAACTATTTAGAAAACAATTCCAAATTGGTTTCTGCTTAAATATACAGGGTGTCCGAGACTAAACGATATTTCCAAAGCAAGGTAATAGAATGACTTCAGACGAACAAAAAACACCTAGTGACATTTTTCTTTTTGGCCCCTTGTTGTTGAGCTATAGGGCCTCAAAGTTGGAATATGCGAATACTGTCTAGTTTTAACATTTTCATTTATAACTTGGGAAATATGGCAAGTAAATCCAACTTTGTCAGAGACATTCTAGGGCAAAATATATATAATAATATACTTATTATATTCTTTGCCTTAGTTAAAAACCTATCGGTATTTTAACAGGAAAAAGAGCCCCATATTCTGACTTTCATTTTCATATAACATAATGTAATAAAAATTTTAAAAATAACATGCTTATAAGACGAAAAACTGAGGTCAAAACCTTAGAAGAGCAACTAAAACAAAGTATTTTTCAAACGAAAACAATTTTTTAAATCTTTATTACGCGGCATAATGCATTATATGTATTTTTGCTTTTCCAAAATTGTTTTTTCTAGTTTTTGTTGTTCTCCAAAAAATATGCAATAGTAATATAGAATACTCGTATATTATAGCCTAATGAAATATTGGATCACGAATTAAATATTTTAAGCAGACGATTATTTTTTGTTAAACTAGGTATATTTACTTATTATATTTACTTATTCAAGACAAAAGTGCTCCTGTACAGTTAGTTTGATCCAGCTTTATTGACTATGTTCCAAATCTGACAAAAATATATTCCAATACATATCCATTTGACATGAGTATTTACGCAATTCATATTAATAACTTTAAACATGACAATTATGCTAAAAACATAATTCCATCAATTTTAATTTTAAATTTTCAAAAAAAAAAACATATTTCAATTGAAATTATTTAAATAAAAAGCGAAATCATTTAGAATATAAAATCTAAATTTTTCTTTATTAGAATGCAGAAATAAGCACTGAAATACTGCAATATGTGGAATTTTTTGTATGTCTATGCGATTTATGCAATAAAATAATTAATTGTATAGTCAATTTTTTTTCAATCACTGACCTCCTTTTTTCTATGAAAATGCACTGAATTGATTTGTGTTTGAAAAAAAAATCATTATTTATTGCATATTGAAATTAAAAATACGCACACACAAACATTCACAAAAATCTTTTAGCATTCTTTATTTTTATAATTTCAAGATATACTAGTATGTAACTATGTAGTAGACTTTAGATTGCAAATTGCCTTTTTTTTTCCAATTGTATATTGGTGACTTTTCATATCACTTAAAAAAATCTCTAACAAAGTAAAATAAAAAAAATTTCAACATTCCAAAGTTCCAATTTTTTAGAATAGATTACAAAATATTTTATAAAAACACAAACTAATTATATATATATACGTAATCTTATAACTCGTACATAGTTTTACAATGTTCATGTGAATGTAAATATTATATAACAAATATTATACATGTCTTTTTTTACAGAAATAACAACAAAATAAACATTTTAAGTAGGTCTTGTATTATTGCAAGTATTTCTGTATTAATAGTAATTAAAATAATAAAAAGATAAGACATTTTAATCGATAATCAAGAGTGTACATATATTTGACAGTATAGTAGATATGTCAAATTATCGAAATTAACGAAATTAAAGTGAATACGAAAATAATAATTGTGCCAATATAGTGCAAATGGTTTTTAATACCAAAAGTATTGAGAAACAAAAAATTTTTTAAACGTTTGGTTTTTAAATCTTACGAAAAACACGAAAAAGATTCTCGTTTTTTAAAATGCAAATAAGTGAATCAAATGTTACTATATATATTTTTTAAAGTGATGTCCACGAACTAGTTTTGAACGATCAATGCAAATGCTCAAATTTTTAATAATTTTTTCGCCACATTCCATTCGAAAAATAGTAATTTATTTGATTTTCAAAGAAGAAGGCTTCAATAGATGCCGGATTTTGAGATTGAATCCAAAACAAGAAAATATCACCGAACTGACTGTTCGGTAATCCAATTAATAATGAAATAATTTAGCTTGTTGTTCGGGTGCCATTTTCTAAATACTTAAATAGACTAAATATTTTGTGAATGGACTATATTTATTTCAAACTAAACTATGTTATGATAGAGAATTGAATTAAAAGCCATAAATTACAATAGTCTAAATCAATAAAATTGAAATTGTTAGGTGTAACCTATGGGGTACTTTAATTACTGCTTGAAATTCTATAATAAAACAGGACTAAAAATTTTAATTTATTTACAAATACTTTCTTTATTTTTTTTTAAATGGCTTCAGCCCATAGTTAGAGGCAGAATTTATATTTAAAATTTTCCATTTTGACACGATGCTTACCTACACTTACATCTTTTTGATTGTGTTTGATACTTTAAATTCAATATTTAATTTATTTTTACCAATATTTTTAAAATTTCTAAATTTAAACACTAAAAATTCAATTTTATTATTAATTGTATTTCAGTTTAAAAGAATTGTAACACAAAAATTCATTATAAAATGTAAAGTAGAATAATTATTTTGATGATAAGCTGTTCTAAATTCACATAACTATACATATGTATATACGAATATATATATAAAATTTTGAATTAGGCGCGTTAATCAATATTTGTATTGATAATAATACAAAATAATCATACACAAATGAATTAAAAGTGAGGCACACTTTTCAATATCATACAATGTGATTAAAAATTAACTATGAATCATTGTTATTATATATATGTATTGTTAAACTTTTAATCTAAGCACGTAAAGAGTTCCAATTACGTAGGTAATACATATTTATTGACATACATACACAAGTGCATAATATGTAGTATAAATTTATGTGTGTGTACAATTCTACAGTTGACACCCTTTTGCAATTTAAACACAATTTTAGCCTTTTAAAATGTAATTGAACTTTTTAAATTATTTTATTCTCTGAGAACTTTATTAAATTAATCTTTTATATATATTTTAAACAAATTGTATTTTTATTAAAAATTATTACAATTTACATTTATTTTACAATTACTAACAAATTTTTTTGAATTTATTTTTTTATTAAATTATAGATTAAAACAATATTTTATTATTATTACTTAACGTGACCGTATTTCTTTTATTTTCTCAGTACATTCTTGTATGAAAAGTGAATTTAATTTGAAATCTTGTAGAGAAAATAAAAAAAAAATCATCTGGTAGCTCACTCAATAGCAGAACTGGGTCATTCAAATTACCTAATAGGTATGTGTATACACATATGTGCAACTACATATATACAAACTAAATATAATAAAATTTTAAATGATATAGACAAGATAATACAATATTAAAATTGCACTCATATACGTACTTATATGTACATATGTATGTAATTTTAAAATCATTTATCATGCTTATATATAAGTTTATATAAATTCACAATACTCAATAGGAGAATCGTCATTCTAAATTTAAAAAAAAAAAATATGTTTTTTTTTTAAATGCAATATAAAAGCAATAGTACTTAACAACAATAATAAAAAATATAGTATGAAATTAGAGAGTGTTAAAATGCGCATGCATTCATTCACAATCATTCTACTATATTCAAACAGAGTGAACGTTATAAGACAACAACAAGTTGCAGAAAATGAGAATTAACAAAGAAGAGCGTAAAATAACGATGCCACCCACCCACACAATTTTATATTGAAATAAAAAAAAGTAATATAACACGGACATATTCTATTTTCACATACAATATACTCATTTATTATTTTTATATATACACATAATAATAATATATTTATATAAACCTTTTAATTATATATACATATATACAAATATGTAAATTTATTATAAGCCTTGTATTTATTTATAGCATACTTATCACTAAAATATGCACGCAATTTTACCTACATATATATACGTACCTCATAATGAACGAATGTGTGTATATAATGAAAAATTGAGTCAAAAACAATGCAATTCAGATTTAAGAAAAAAATAAAAATAAAATTATTGTAAACCATTTTATTTTCGTATATTATGTATGGTTTTTATGTTCCCGATGTGTATAGGTGAAATTTATTTACAACATACGAGAAACAACCTTTACAACATACGAGTAATTGCATACTCATATAGTCGCAAATAAAAAAAAATTCGAAACTTTGTCAGAATATCAAATTTGACGTTATTGGATTTTCCTGGTTTGAATTAATAAATGTTTCGGATTCAGTGTCTAATCTGGATTAAGTTTTTATGGTCTTAATTATACCAGCCGAAAAATGTAAACCAAATTCTTAAAACTTGATGCAAAAATTATATATTATTTATTATGAAAGTACTTTAAAGAAGTGTATGTATAGTTAAGAAAAAACCATTAAGTAGGAAAAAATGGCATACAGACTACAGACAAAATTTGTCTGATTATTTATGGGTCGGGAAACTTACGAAAATGGGTAATTATTTTTATAAAAATATAAACATACAGAGATGCAGATTCATTACGTCTTTTATGTTTACATACAAAATATGCATGTCATATCTATACATATACACACATATGCATACCTAGCTTATATAATTTATACATGTATTCAAAGTATTTATTATTCAAATATGTATAGCAGCAGTACACGACATTAAAACTTATAGGCAAATAGAAAAAGTTTTCACTTTCGCTTTAAAAGTGGATTCTTGTTTGTTTTTATTTTTTCGAAAATGAATTTAAAAAAAAATTATTAAATGAAAACGAAAATGAAAATATTCAATACAATTTTTAAGGTTAGGTTACAAGCGCCTCTATAAATACACGGGTTTTTTTCAACTCATATGTTTTTACACTGAGAAAGCAAAAAAAAATTAATAAAAAAATTTTAATAATTTTGATGATACTAT